ATTTTCGGTCACAAAGCAAACTTGCCCAAATTCAGAAACATTGAAATTATGCCCTGCATTGTCTCAGACTACAAGGGAATAAAATTAGAACTCATCACCAAAAGCCACCAAAGAAAGTCCTGTAACACAAGGAAGCTGAACAACACACTGCGGATCCACCAGTGGGTCACAGAGGAGATTAGAAAGGAAATTCAAATGTTTATGATATTCAACATAAATGAACACACAGATTACCATCTCCTCTGGGACACAGCAAAGGCAGTACTCAGAGGCAAGTTTATAGCTCTGAGTTCCTATATCTGAAACCAACAATTTAATGAGACACCTGAAGCTCCTTGAAAAAGAGCAGCAAGCTAGACCCCAATCGAGTAGACAGAAACAAATAATTAAAATTAAATCAGAATTGAAAGAATTAGAATCCAAAAAATAAAACCATAGAAAAAATCAACAAAGGGAGCTGGGAAGGTGGTAGAGTGCTTGCCTTGCATGCAAGAGGCCTGGGGGTCCATTCCTCAGCATCACATAAGCAGAAAAAGCCAGAAGTGGCACTGTGGCTCAAGTGGTAGAGTGCAAGCCCTGAGCTGAAGAGCTCAGAGGCAGTGCCCAGGCCCAGAGTTCAGGCCCCACAACTGACCAAAAAGAAAAAAAATCAACAAAGATTTGGTTCTTCGAATAACTTAATAAAATTGATAGACCCTTAGCAAATCTTATCAGAAAAAGAAGAGAACACACCCAAATAAACAAACTCAGAGATGAGAATGGAAACATCAGCACAGAAACAACCAAGATTCAGAACATTATAAGGGAATACTTCTCAAACCTTTATGCTAATGAGTTTCAGAAACTGGAAGAAATGGACTAGTTGCTAGCAAATATTGACATGCCAAAACTAAACCAAGATAATTTAAACCAAGTTAACAGACCCATATCAAGCATCAAAATAGAAACAGCAATAAGAGACCTCCCATCTAAGAAAAGTACAGGACCAGATGGATTTACAGCAGAATTCTACAAGGCATTCAAAGCAGAACTCATACCAATACTCCTCCAACTCTTCAATGAAATCGAAAGAGAAAGTTCACTACTGAATTCATTCTATGAAGCCATTGTAAGCCTCATCCCCAAATCAGGCAAGGACTCATCAAAGAAAGAGAACTATAGACCCATTTATTTGATGAACATTGATGCAAAACTTCTCAACAAAATTTTGGCCAATCAACTTCAACAACTCCTCAAAAAAAAAAAAAGCATAAGCCATGATCAAACAGAATTCATTTCAGGGATGCAAAGCTTGTTCAATATACACAAATCAATTAATATAATTCATCACACCCACAGAGCAAGGATAAGAACCAAATGATTATCTCAATAGATGCAGAAAAAGCATTTGACAAGATCCAACACCCCTTTATAATGAAGGCCCTGGAAAAACTAGGAATCCATGGAACATTCCTCAATACAATAAAGGCTATGTAAGACAAACATACAGCCAGCATTATACTTAATGGTGAAAAACTAAAGCCATTTCTTCTAAACTCAGGAATGAGACAAGGATTTCCACTCTCTCCACTTCTCTTCAATTTAGTATTAGAATGCCTAACTACAGCAATAAGACAAGATGCAAACATAAAAGGGATCCAAATAGGGAAAAATGAAGTAAAACTCTCCCTCTTTGCAGAAGGCATGATCTTGTATTTAAAGAATCCCATGGACTCCACTCCCAAATTACTCAAGCTGATTCAAAACTTTGGCAAAGTAGCAGGGTATAAAATTAACCCCCCAAAATCGATGGCTTTTCTGTATGCTAACAATGAGAAAAGCGTGGCTGAAATCAGGAAGCAACTCCATTCATAATAGCCCCACAAAAAATAAAATACCTAGGAATTAACCAAAGAAGTCAGGGACCTCTATGATGAAAACTTTAAAAACCTGAAAAAGAAAATCAAAACAGAACTTAGAAAGTGGCAAAACCTCCCATGCTCCTGGATTGGAAGGATCCACATCGTGAAAATGGCAATACTTCCCAAGGCTATCTACAAATTCAATGTGATACCTATCAATATTCCAACCTCATTCTTCAAGGACATAGAAGAGGCAAT